AAATATTCGATTAGAAAATAGATCTAGAACAGATTATCTATTACGAGAAAAGTTATTGCAGCTCGATTCGATCGCGATTGTAAGTTTCAATGAATACGTTTTTCTGACCATACCAATTGTATTACAAATATCTCATGAGTTTCTTAGCAAAATGAAGAATTCATTTTCAATGAAATCAATGTTTATTTCTACTTCATACTTTTGTTTTATTTTAGTACCAATGCGTGCAAGTTACATTGATATTCATCCGAATGCAACATGGTCAAAGAATGGTACCACTATTGCTGGAGGAAATGGACGAGGCAGTGGAACCAATCAACTCTCAAACCCATTGGGTTTGTACGTCGACGACGATCTAACGATTTATGTTGCTGATCAATTGAATCATCGTATTATGGAATGGAAAACTGGTGCAACGAATGGAAAAGTCGTTGCTGGTGGAAATGGAGCAGGAAATGGAGCTCATCAATTAAATAGCTCAACAGATTTGATTATCGACAAAGAGAGCGATAGTCTCATCATCAGTGATAACGAGAATAAAAGAGTAGTTCGTTGGCCTCGTCGAAATGGTACTCGTGGAGAAACAATTATTTCAAATATCTCTTGCAGCGGTTTGATAATGGACAACAATGGTTATCTCTATGTCGCTGACAATGGAAAACAAGAAGTGAGACGATATAAAATTGGTGATACTCAAGGAACAATGATTGCAGGTGGCAATGGACAAGGAAATCGTCTTGATCAACTCTCTAACCCCTTATACGTATTTGTCGATCGAGATCATTCAGTTTATGTGTCTGATTGGGGAAATCAACGTTTCATGAAATGGGAACAAGGTGCAAAACAAGGCATTGTCGTAGCCGGTGGTCACGGACGAGGAAATAGTCTTACACAATTGTCTAATCCTCATGGAGTCGTTGTCGATCAATTGGGTACTGTTTATGTGGCTGATTGTCGGAATCATCGAATCATGCGTTGGCCAAAAGGAGCCACACAAGGAAGTGTCATTATTGGTGGAAATGGTCAAGGAGCACAGTCGAATCAACTCAATTGTCCCACAGGTTTATCATTCGATCGACATGGTAATCTCTATGTTGTCGAATGGCAAAATAGTCGAGTACAAAAATTTACTATCAAATGAACTCAATTTGTATTATTAATGTTTTTTTCGTTCTCTATCTCCACTTTCAAATAAATCATGATTGCATGGAAAAATGCATTCGAATTCTTTTCTATTCTCGTACGTGTGCGCGACCAGGAACCAC